AAGGGACGTGCGTCCAATGCCACCTTTCATCTTCAAACCAGGTCAAAACCTGGTCCTCAATGTGACGAACGGCTTCATCAGTACCGTCGTCATCAAAGGACAAATGTCCCCAATGCCATCCTTCATCTTCAGACCAACTTCAAAGTTTGGTCCTTCATAGGACGAACGGCTTCATCAGCTTCATCTTCAGACGGGCACCTAGCGCCGTCCCACATCTTCGGACGAGCATCCAAGATTGGTCCATTATCGGGTCGGCTCTGTCGTCCCTCATCTTACGACGAATGACCTCTCAAGTTCCGTCGTCCTCAGATCACGAACGGCTCCTCAGCCTCTGCGTGATCCTTCATCTCAAGACTAGCTTCCTCAGCCCCGCCGAGAGTCTTGAGCTTATATGACGGTCAACTTCATCATCGCCTCGTAATCATATTATAGGACCGGCTCAATATCGTCGTACGTCCTCAGATTACGAATGGCCCATCAGCCTCAGCGTGATCTTTTATCTCAAGACCGGCTTACTCAACTCCGAACGTCTTGAGCCAGCGATTGGGCTCGCCATCCCTTCCTGGATGGTGACCATCGCCTTCATATGACGGACGACTTCATCAACGCCTCATCATTAGTTATTGGACTGGCTCATCATCGCTGACGTTCTCATATCACGACTGTCCCCTCAACTACGGTGTGATTATCTGCATCAAGGCTGGCTCCTCAGCGCCAAAACCTTGACCTAGAGACCGGGGCTCGCCATTCCCTTCCAGGATGGTGACCGTTGCCTTCATCGTCTAACGATTGACCCATCAACGCCGACACCCTCATATTGCGGCAGACCCTCGGTTTCAATGTGATCTTTTATATCGACACGGCAGACCCTCGGTCTCAACGTGATCATCATAATCTGAGGACCGTTGCTTGGGCTTTTGGATCGGCTTCTCAGCGCCAACGTCCGCACATCACAAATGGCCTTTCGATGCGTCGTAATTATCTTTCTCAAGACCGGCCTTGGCCATTCCTTTACCGAATGGTGACCGTTGCATGGTTTTTTGGACCGGCCCCTCAGTGCCATCGTCCTCATATCATGACCGGCCCCTCGACCTTGGCGTGATTATTTATCTCAAAGACCGGCTCCCAACGCCAAAGTATTGTTATAGCGTCCAAGCTCGCTAGTCCCCTCCTGGATAGTGACCGTTGCCTTCGTATGACACGCGGCTCATCACCACCGTCGTCCTCATATTCAGACAGACATCCACCGCCTCGTCCTCATATTCAGACGGGCATCCACCGCCTCGTCCTCATGACCAGGCAGGCGTCCACCGCCTCGTCCTCATATTCAGACGGGCGTCCACCGCCTCGTCCTCATGATCAAGCATGCATCCATCGCCTCGTCCTTCACATTCGGACCGGCTCATCACCGCCTCGTCCTCATAATCAGGCATGCGTCCACCGCCTCGTCCTCATCATCTTATGGGCTTCCCCTCAGCAGACGGACACCGCTGCGGCTCCACGCCCAGACCGAAGGGAACATAACTTTTGCTTCATTTGGGGGGGCATCTGGTGTGCTCTTTTTCCCTCGTTAGGATTTTTTCCCACAGGGTTTTCCCTAATGAGGATTTTAACGAGGCATCGCCCCATTGTGGATCAAAAGGTGTCGACCCTCGCCCCCATATTGAAGACGTGCATTGCTCTACCCCTTTTCACCTCAAGGAGCGGGGAACTTAGCGCCTCCTTAAGAAAGATTGCCACATGCACCATCGAGGCATCGACAACCTCACATCATACGCATAGCCCCTCAACCCCAAGACCGGTAGTGACGGTCTCTGGCTTGCGACCTTCGACTCAGGATTCTCCCATAGGGTTGCCTCAATTAGGGCTCGCCAATGAGGTCGGATTATCGACTTGGGGAATCCGAGCGAGGCACCTCGGCGACATCAGACGGATCAATACATAACTATACTCCCTTTCGCGGTTTCGCCTCGAGTGCTCTCGCTTCAGGCAGTGGGAGACTGGGGGACTACACCGGTCTCCAATGCAAAGATGAAATTGAAAAACCAAAAACACAAGTATACAACAGCGACGACATCGTATCGTCTATGCACCACAACGTCCACAAGCGTACGATCTATCAGCTAAAGTCAAAAGCACAAAGCCGTGGACGTCCTCAACCGCATGATCCACCATCGGCCAGCATGGCAAGGACACCACGAACGTCCACCTTCGGCCAAGCCAAAGCGCAAAGCAGGACGCACATCATCCTCAATGTCAAGGACCCACATCGTCCTCCAAGTCAAGGGCACACAACGTCCTCGAAAATGGAATACATCCATCATCTACTCAAGCAGAGACACTCATCGTCCTCAAAACCTTGGACGCACAATGTCCACTAGGTAAGGACCTCCACCGTCCTCAACATAGAAATGGAAGCTCCACAATGGCTCGATGAGCAAAACGTGTATAAATTCAACAAAGAACAACAACACTGCAACGTCCTATGAAATGAAGTGCCTCCATCGGCCAGATCTCCTTCGTCCAAATCAACACGCCAAGTCAAGACTTGCGCCGTCCTCAAAACAAAGGACACACATCATCCTCGACACAACGCACAAGGAACATGACACACACATCATCCTCAATACAAGGCACATCTCTCGTCCATATGAGCGAGGGATCTGCGACGGCCCAGGAAGCAACAACAAGCATCAGCCACCAGATGGCACCGTCTCGGCCTCGAGATGAAGGACGTTCCTGACAGCTCAATTATGCCACCGCCTCGGCCAGGAGCGCCAGAGCTCCCAGGTAATCCTCCATCGGCCAAAGGCATCCAGGCAACAAAAATGAAGGACAAAAGGTAGCCAAACAGTTATGGCGCCGCCTCAGCCTCGAAATGGAGGACGTTCCTGACGGCTCAGTTATGGCACCGCCTCGGCTAGAAACGCCAGAACTCCCAGGTAATCCTCCGAAGGCCAAAAACATCAAGACAACAAGGATCTGCTCCCTTTCGCTTCGTCTACGTCTCAACTCAGAGAGTGGGGGACTCCTGATAGAGTATATGGGTCCAGACCCCATGACCCACTTACTTCCACTACTGCAAACAAGATCCCGGGGACGTACGTCCTTCAGCACATGGGAAACCCCGGGGACGTACGACCTTCAGTACATGGACGACCTCGGGGACGTACGTCCTTCAGCACATGGGAAACCCCGGGGACGTACGACCTTCAATACATGGAAGACCCTCGGGGACGTACGACCTTCTGCACATAGTGGTCCCCCGGGGACGTACGACTTTCAACACTACATCGTCAGCCAGGCGCTCGTCTCCAAGACCTTCATCTGCCACACCTCCATCAGCCAGACGTTCGTCTCCCAAACCTTCGTCTGCCACATCTCCATCAGCCAGACACTTGTCTCCCAGACCTACGTCTGCCACATCATCATCCAGATGTTCGTCTCCCAGACCTACGTCTGCCACATCGTCAGCCAAACGTTCGTCTCCCAGACCTACGTCTGCCACATCGCCAGCCAGACGTTCGTCGGCCACAGGGAGCTCGCAGACATCTTCCATACTTAGCTACTACATACGAATGTAATCAGCCCAATAGAGGCCTCATATTGTAATGGGCCTCCCAAGCCCAAGACTTGGGAGTCCAACCCATGTTTTCCCTATAAATACTCCCCTTGGGAGTAGTTGTAAGAGTTCAGAAATCATTAATACAAATCACTTCTCTCTTTAGCTCTCACTTCTCTCTAAACATATAATCTATCACATATATATAGAAAAGTAATCAAGGTTACTTTTTACTTCTTAAATATTCAAATAATTTCCTACCACTACACATTAATTTTCAAAGAGCTAGTTTGCGGTTCAATCTAAAATTCGAAGTCAAGTTCCAAATCTGAAGTCAACATTGTGGTCAAAGATTCCAACATTAACCTTTGAGAATAAAAAACAAGAAAAACAAGGTTAAAGATGGTCAATTCTCAAGATCAAAAGAGAGCATAACTTCAAGTCAAAGGTGGTCTACGTTGTATTTCGATGTCTAGAAACTTTGCAGAACCAATTCAATCAACAGACACGTCAATGATCCATAAACAACATTCAAATGATGCCAATTTCAACTCATTATCATTTTGTTAAATCATATAATGCACTGATTTTCTCAAGATTAGCTGAAAAGAGCCGATTCTACCTCCAATTCTGGATTGAAAAGTTTCAAGAATGTACTGTAAATCGCAAGGAAATGCAACCTATATATGACAACGATAGAAGTTTAAGTTATTACGTACTCCCTCCGTCCCACTAAAAGGTTCCCGTGAACGGTTTACGATGCTTGACTGCCGATAAAACAACTTAATCCCTGTTCACACACTGATTATTTTTAGTAAATAAAATTAACATATTCAGAAACTACATTAAAACCGCTACAAAGCATGATAAAAAAATGTATATTTGGTATAAATTTGATTTATAAAGTAAAAGATTAAAAATGATTTAAGTTGATCATGAGAATAGTGGACGAGAACCTTCTAATGGGATGAAGGGAGTAGTATAAAAGAAGACTAGACACAATAATAAATAAATGTTTTAACTTAATTGAAATCTAGGGTCATGTATTATCATGATTAAAGAATGACAATGATTTTCCCTTCAACGAATTTAATTTGATATATGCAAATTATACAAATCTGGTGCTTTACTTTTTAGCCAACAGTGAAATCAAAATGAAAGTTTTATTTACTACGGAGTACCTCATTCGTTCGATATTATGGATCTGAAATCGACGGCCCAAAAACGGTCAAGACACCTTCTTCTCAATGAGCCGAATGAGGCTGCCCAAGTAACACGGCAAATATCCAAAATCCAAATACGTTTCTGTTTCCAGAAAATAAAAATTTAAATCTCCAACGTCTATTCAATATTAACGGTTCAGATCTTGCGGTCTTTCTATTCGCATACTTTCAAATTTAACGAACATATACTTATTAATCTGTTAAAAACGAGTAATTTTGAAAAAGTAAACCTAAATACAGTGGTAAAATGAGTGCATCTCTCAGCTCCAAATCCTCTGATCTTCGTTGACAATTTTTCAAACCACTGTGAAAGGCACGTTGAAGCTACCAATAACCAGGAAAATCTTCAAGAAACCCTAGTCTACCTTCCGAATTGCGTTCTATCTTGAGAATATCATCTGAAAAAGCGTCATCTTTTATGCTTTTGGTGCGTGTTTCTTCGAACGCGCATCTGTAATTTTGAATACTCCATAGCCGGAAAGATGATGGTCCGGACTTATGGCCGGCGTGGAAGAGGCGTATCTCGAAGTTACTCATGTGGTCGTAATGGATTTGAAGATGGTGTTTCGTCCCAAGAAAGCCCTCAGGATGTTTACAATTTTGAATTCTCGTCCCAAGACTCAGGCCGTTGGGCATCATCGTTAAATAGTTCAGATCCGTACGGTATTGGGTCTTCTCAGGAGTGCCAGGAGCCGGAAATATTTCTTCCGGAGGAGGTGGACGTGGGTGTAGATTTTGAGGATCACAATGGGCACTGGAAATCCAAGAAGAAGATGAAGGTCTTCGATTGGGATCCTTACAACTTGAATTCGTCGCAGGAGTCTGATGAATTAATGATTTTACCCCCGAGGAGTGACAGGGAGAGTGGGATTTTTGGGAAATCAAAGAAAGAAAAGTCTGGGAAGAAGGGTAAGGAAAATGGGGTTCTGCAGAAGAAGAAGAAGGTGATGAATAAGAAGGTTGTCCCAGAAGAGTCAGGATCAATTGCAGCCACATTGATGGAGACCCAAGAGCATGGGGAGATGATGGAAAACGTTGATGAAGTGAATTTTGCATTGGATGGGTTGAGAAAGGGCCAGCCAGCAAGGATCAGGAGAGCAAGTCTGTTATCGTTGCTTTCCATATGTAGCACTGTTCATCAGCGCAGACTTTTGAGGGCTCACGGGTATGCTAATTTGGCACTCTATCAGTTTATATATTTCCCAAAACATTGATTTATGTGTAAGGCTCGTTTTTTTTTTGTTTCTAAAGTTTTTTTTTGAAGGATTTTTTTCTAAAACTTAAGACGCCTTTTTTGGAAATCTTGGGACCAATGAATTTGAAATTTCAAAATCCGCCTGAATAATTTGTAGAAGAATGACCATAAAGAAATTAACTCATGCGGTTAAGGCCTAGGTTCTTTTTTGTAAACCTGTAAAGTGTTCCCACAATGTTCCATAGTTAGGTTTCTTGAAGCAGTGGTCAGTTTAGGTTTTTTATCAAAATACAAGAACTCATTCATATTTGAGCTTCTATAGACTACTCTGTGAAATGGTGTTTCATATTGTTTCCTCCTCTATGCTTTTTGGTCCTAGTGTTTCTAGGACGGCTAAGTAATACTACATATTTCTTTAAGATCTTCTACTATGAGTCATTAGGTATTTCCGCTATAATCTTCCGTCTCCTAACCTTCTATGGGGGTATTTCTGCTACATGTTTTGACTCTGATGAAGAAGTGAGCAGAGGGTTACAACCTAAGCCTTTAGATTATCATGTATTTATACAATTGTACAACAGAGGTATACTCGTATCACATCTTGGAGGTCTATTTTTAGCCCCTGTTCCTATTCTTACGAAGCCTTGTGTTTCAGGATGGCTCAAACTATTATTGATGCTGTCGTGGGGCTCCCCTCAGACGATTCATCGAGCAACCTCGCAGCAGCAGCACTGTTCTACATTTTTATAAGCGATGTAGGTTACTTCTGTATGCCCTTTCTCTTTAAATGGTAAATAGATGTTAAACCTGCATCTTCTGAAAATGCTCTCATTTTATCAACACAAACTGAAATTTCATCATGACCAAGATGTACAAAGTTTGAGCTTATTGTGTGTCATGCGTGTGTAGGCAGGGGGGAGGGTCATGGATCATGTCTATATGGGTCTTGTGGTTTTCCTTTTAATTTTAACTTCCTAAGAATCTCTTTTCAGGGATTGGATGACCATCTTCTAGATTCTCCAGAGTGCATACGATTTCTAATTAAATTGCTGAAACCAGTCAAATCTGAAGCTTCTGTGGCAAAAGCACAGACTATTGGTAGCAAGCTTCTTGCAATACGCTTGGACGCTGGTATTTCTCAAGATTTGGTGAAAACCGACTCTACTTCCAATTCTATCTTGAAAAAGGTTCAGGAAATTCTTGTCAGTTGCAAGGAAATGAAGCCTACATGTGACAATGACAGAAGTCAGATACTGGAACTGAATCCAAAATGGATTAGTTTGTTGACACTAGAGAAGGCTTGCCTATCTCCAATTTTAGTTGAAGGTTTGATTGCTACTGCTAAATGCATATGCATGCATGATCTTTTCATGCCGTATTAGTTTTGAATGATATTCCCTTGCTGTTTCAGCATTTTCTCATATAATATATATTATATATAATATAATTTATGTATATATTATATATTACTTTTTCGTAACATTCCAACACTTCTGAATATGATTGATATCAATCACAATATTCTTAGTAGTTAGTATAAATTTTGTTGTTCGTATAAATACTGTAAGTTTATCATCATATTCTTTCTGTATTTTGCTTTTATTTTCTGGTTTTTGTGTTATCTAGATTAAAAATCATCATTACAGTCATTATTAGTATTTGCTTCCATTTTCCTTTTATATAACAATTCATACTCTCCAAATGGATTCAGGATGGATCTTATACTGAGTACAAGTATCTCTATTATCATAAATATACGTTTTGATGTGTATAACTTTTGTTTGCGTTTTGATGCTGTTGACTAATTTTATAGTTTATCCTTTTTGTATACCTGAAATCACAGAAACATCTGGGACTGTCCGGAAAAGTGGAGGCACTTTCAAAGAAAATTTGAGAGAGCTCGGAGGACTTGATGCTGTTTTTGAAGTGGCAAGGAACTGTCATTCGCTCTTGGAGGTGTGAGCTGTACTTTGTTTTTTGTTGAGCATAAGAATATAAGATGTCTATCATGTTTTGTGGACTGCATGTTATCTGGGGCACCGTATTTGTTAGGGATGAAGATTCATTTAAGCTTATTTATTTATTTATTTATTTATTTATTTATTTATTTATTTATTTATTTATTTTTGCAGGAATGGATGATAAAGATTTCGTCATCATTTTTGGAGCCAAAAGATACTACTGCCTTGGAAAGTTTAGTGTTGCTTTTAAAATCTCTGAAGACCATGGAAAATGCCACATTCTTGAGTTTGGATATTCAGGTAAGCAGGATATAGAAAGCATATCCACTTTCAATCCATAGAGAAACTTTAGTATACCATCTCTAGGTAGTGAACACTATCATTCATTTCATTTTCATTTACCCCAGTGCCGCAAAGGCTCCCGTAGGGGGGTCGGATGTACGCAGTCTTACCCATGTACTGACTGCATGGACTGACTGCTGCTCCATAACAAAGAAGCGCAGGCAGTTTAGTGAGCCATTTTGCTTTATTCCATCATAATCTCAAGCCAAAAAATAATGAATCTTTGGCTCCATTGCAAATGATGGAAAAAAATATAAGAAAAAAATATGGATTGTTCAAGAGGGTGGTTACACCTTTTCTACTTCATTCCTTTCATAGAACCACATGCTGGAAATGAAAGGAAAGCTGGACAGTCTTCGTTCACCTAGGTCTTTCATAAAGCTCATTTTAAGTGTCATTGGGACTCTCTCAGGTATGCGGTTTTGGCTTGACTTCTCGCTTTCTTGTTTTGCAGCAATCTTCCTCTGCCTTTTGTCAGTGTTTGTTTTGATTCTTTTTGATTTGCTATCCAGATGTTTTCTTGCATAGACGCCGTTCTTCAGAAAACTTTCAGAACAAAAAGATATCTGAACTCTCGCACTCACCTTCAACAGGTAAAATTCAGCCTCAAATAAATGAGCTACTGGGTAATGATGCATTTTTTTATATTTAATACTCCCTCCGTCCCAATAAATACTTCCCACATTGACTTGGCACTCTTATTAAGAAAGTGGGAATAAAGTGGAAATGTATGGTTGTGGTTGAGTAAGAAAAAGGTAAATGAATGTGAGCCACAAAAAACATTCCCAAAATGGTAAGTTGGAATTTGTTTTTGGGATGGAGGGAGAAACATAATAAGCAAAATGACATTTAACTTAACATCTACTCTTCCCCTCCTGAAAATGCAGTTGACAGCAAGGAGATTATTTCTATCATCTCCTCTCTTACTACAAGTGAGGATGCCTCATCCTCTATGTGGTTTACTGATTCTCAAACAGATCCACTAGGCTCCTCTAAATCTACCTCCAGTGATTCTTGGTGGTCGAAAACAAGAATAGACTCTTCCAAATCTGGGTCATGCCATGGAAGCTCAAGACATATTTCGAAAAATAAGATAGAAAATGCAAATGACATTGATCACAATATGAAAGGAAGCAACGGAACCAAGGCAGTTCATGTGACGGATGATACCCAAGATCCTTTTGCTTTTGACAGTGATGATTTAGGACCTTCTAAGTGGGACTTGCTGTCCAGAAAGCAAAAAGTTTCTCGGCCTCCAAATGGTAAGGCAAAGGTTCGTGGAAATAAATCTAGAAATCACTCAACTCCTATGTTGAGCAATCAAGAGTCTTGTAATGACAACCATAATAAAAGTATCAGTTCCGGGGCTTCTTGTTCATCTGCTGTTGATGAAGAAATGTCCAACCTTCTGGCTGACTGCCTTTTGTCATCTGTTAGGGTAATTGGCTCGCCTGCTTGCATACATCTTTCCTACCGTTATTTAATTTTAACATCATATGCATTTTTCAAGGTATAAAAGCATTAAATATGGGGAGAGTCAATATGGGCAAAGTTGGAAGATCAGTAAACGACAATAGTTTTGGGACAACATTTTTCTGTGTGGCTGAAATGCAATTAAATTGTGATATGTGGAGTATTCTTTGAACTGAGTAGTTCAGGAGACTTGTCATTTTCCAACCAATATTCTGTTGCTATAAAATAAGTTAGCCTTTCAATTTCATTGTCCATGGATGAATAAAGAGGACTTTTCTTGCCCTTATTTGTGGGTTTTAGAGTGACACTGGGTTTTCTGTAGGTTTTAATGAACTTAACAAATGACAATCCCATCGGGTGTCAACAAATTGCTGCGTGTGGAGGTCTAGAAACATTGTCTTCCTTGATTGCCAGTCATTATCCCTCTTTCAGCTCAAGCTTGAAGTGTGTTTTTTCGTCTAAACCGGACGTCAAGCCTGACGATCAAATTGATAGTCCACTCAGTGACCAAGAGCTCGATTTGCTTGTTACTATTTTGGGCTTGCTTGTCAATTTGGTAGAGAAGGATGGACGCAACAGGTAATTGTTTTCTTTCACCATACTGATCTGTTTATCCCTTCTCTTTCATCATTAATGAAGAAAAAACGTGGGAAATGTTATGTTTTTTAATCTTCCCCCCTACATTTTTTTCCTTCTTTCCTTCTTTCCTCTTTTGAGGCTTAAACTTATTTTCCAGCAACCAAAAGAAGCCTTCGATAACAGTTCTTTTCAATATCAGCTTTATCCTAATTTGGAGCTCCCCAAATAGACCTAAGAGCACTTTTTTTTTCCGTTTTATTAAGATCACGGCTTGCATCGGCTAGTGTTTCTGTGCCTGGAACGGAAGGTTTAGAGGAGAGTTGCACAGATGTAATTTCATTATTTTGCACCATCTTTTTGGCTAATCAACGAGGAGGTGAAGCTGCTGAAGGAACTTCGAATATGGTGAGTAGATTTAACTTTCTCCTAACTTGTACAAGGCACTAAAATTTGGGTAGTTAAAAATGGTTATATATATTGTTCTGCTGTTCAGGATGAGGAGCATACTCTATTAAAGAAACAGAAGGAAGGCGAGAAAGTGATCATTGAAGCTTACTCAGCTCTCCTCATCGCGTTCCTTTCAACTGAAAGGTGAGGGATTACTAGGCTATATTTGGGAGTTGGGTTTTGGAGGTGAAAGGAAGGGGAGATATAAAATGATTAATTATGAGCATAGACACTGTCGGTAATTTGTTTATCACCACCATAAACCATATTTGAGTATTAAATAACGCCACCAAAATTCAATAGCCAAACGTAACCTTAGTATTACATAACTCCACCACCCTTCGTAGTTCGGTAGTTCCTACCGGCATGTCTTTACATTTTTTCATTGTGAATCTCACTCACTGTTTCTAGCAGCAAGTGCACACGAAACGCAATTGCCGAGTGTCTTCCAGACAGGAGCTTGGCTATCCTTGTCCCTGTATTAGAGAAATTCATGGTATGTTAATTTCCACCCCCCTCACGTCATAGATACTAACATTGGTTTTATCTGTAATGTGATAACTTGTTCATTGACAATCCAGGATTTTCATTTGTCAATGAGGATGATTTCGCGGGAGACTCACTCTGCCGTTCTTGAAGTAATTGAATCATGTAGGGTTCCATGATCAAGGATATAATAAAGCAGGAAGTGAGATTTTTTTTTTAGTTTTTTACGGTACCCTAACATCTGTATATTCCTCCTGCATTTGAATTCTTGATCTTGTTATTCTTGTAATTATCGTATTAGTTTTTTTTCTTAGTCTCATTTCAATGTATACGAACAGAATCTTTCTGTTCCTAACACTTGTAGAAGAAGAGAAGACATACCAAACACAATTATACGCTTGACTGATTTCTTAGTTTGCTGACTTGCTCATTAAAAAAGATTTAATCGAGTGCATCTCGATATATATATGTTTTTTTAAAGATTATTAAGCGGATCTTTTAATACGACTTTCTACTAAATAACCGTGTGTCCGTGTTGCGAAAAAATATCAATAATTCACACGGTCACACCTAATGCGTTATCCATTTTAATATGATTTTAATTTTACTCATCTATAAATAGGGGCGGACCGGACCGGCCCGTGAACCGGATCGGCCCGTGAACCGGACCGGCCCGCTACTGTGCGGGCCCGGACTGGACCGGGATCGGATGGCCGGTTTCGGGCTTTAGCCCGGGTTGGGCGGGCGTGGTGGGCTGGGCTCGGGCCCTATTTTTCTTGAACCGGTCCGAGCGGTCCGGGTCGGGCCTGGTTCATTTTTTTTCAATTTTTTTTCTTTTCCTTGGGTAGGGGCACTAGGTATGGACTCGGGCCGGGTGGTCCGACCCGGAACCGGCCTGGGACCGGTACTGTTCCGGCCCGGCCCGACCCGGTGGCCCGGTCAGTGACCGGTCCGGGTAGGCCCGGCCCGTGGGTTTTCCGGTCCGGGCTCGGGTCACCCAAAACAAGGCCCGACCCGGCCGGAACCGGGCCCGGTTCGGGCCAAAAACAATTTTTTTTTTTCAATTTTTTTAAAATTTTTGGGTTGGGCTGCGTATTTTGGGCCATTTGGGGTGGTTTGGGGGTTGGGGGTGGGAGGGGGGTTAATTAGGAAGAGGAAAACAAAAAAAAATTATAATGGGCCCGGCCCGGCCCGGACCCGGACCGGACCCGATGGTTACCCGGGCCGGTCCCGGGTCCACCATTTTTGACCCGCCGGCCCGCCCGGGCCTAGGCCCGACCCGGACCCGGCCCGGACCCGAGTCCACCCCTAGGTAGGGCTGGGTGTTTTAGGGAGGTTTGAGGGGGGGGGGGGGGTAAGGGGGGGGGGGGTGTGAGGGGGGGGGGGGTCGGGGGTTAATTAGAAAGCAAAAAAAAATTTATACATTGGCCTGGCCCGACCCGGTTTGGCCCGGACCCGGTATCAATCGAGGCCGGTTTCGGGACCAACATTTGGAAAAAAAGCCCGACTTGAACCGGCCCGGGCCCGGTCCATGTCTATCTATAAACATAATTGCATTTTATTCTCTAGTTTTGAATATCGATTTGTAATCATGATTTACTTGTGTTATACGACTGAATAGAAACACTAATGTAGTTTCTCAATGTAATGTAAAGTTACTCGCACGGGTAACTCACTTGGTCGAGTGGTGGGAGATTTGGATCAATGGACCAAGATTCGAATCCCGACCGAGTGGAGGTCACAGAACCTGAAATAAGATTGAGCCTCTGGTGCGCACGGGTGTATGAGCCTACTGTCACTGACTGAGTCATCGTGACTAACCTCCCCACTATCTTGTCGGGTTAGGGTGGGGGGCTCCTGGGGTGGGAGATTCCACCTTTTTGGATCAATGTAATGTAAAGTTTTCATTACTAACACTATTTTAAATGTGCAATCGGTCAATTTGAAAAATCATTTCATAGCAAATCAGGAAAAATAATGTGACCATTTTAATAAAAAAAACTTTATCTGAGGAAATATGATGTAATCAAAAGGTACTATATTTGTCTTTGTCTAAATGTATTGGATATTTTTAATTGAGAAAATGGTAAAAAAATATAAAAATGATTAGATATTGCTTAATATAGGCTCACATTTACATCCAGACAAAAATTAACTATTCAATAATTGAATATGCTCAAATGACCTTAATATAAGTATCAATCTAACCCTAACCAAGACCGGTCTTGGGGCATGGGCAAGGGGGCATGCGTCCAAGGTCCATTACTTCCCTAGGACCCAAAAATTTCTCAGTTATATATGGACATTTATTTTAATTATATATACATTATATATCTATGAAAATTTAAAAATAAGATCAAACTTATAATTTTTTGGATACTTTCAACTATTATCCAACAACATCTACAAGTTAGTATAAGTTTAAAATTCTGAAACATCCATACCATGATTCATCGGAAACAGAGTTTACAATTTCTTTTGATTCTTTAAGAGTTGGCGCATAAAATATCAGGACATGTCCTCACCCTAACTCCTTTCACCCATTCCTTCCACATTTTTCTGAGACAACACACCATCATCGTTGTCAATACAACAATGCCTCATCCACTCCAACTTTTGAAGTAATCTTCTCTTCCTTCTTCTTGTTCGCAATTCCCCCCCCCCCCCCCCCCCCCCCCCCTCCTCCATCTTCATCGAGGTTGTTTAGAGGGATCATCACTACTATTGAGAACACCGCCTATATCGAATACATCTTCTTCTTTGATGTAAAGCCACTGCTGCTGGAGGAGTTAATGTTGACATTATTCGAAGGTGTCTCCAATGTGACTGCAAGAGCTTGAGGAGTTGATGTTTGTTGGAAAAATGTGTTAAAAATTGCATTAAATGGTCATTTTGGGATAACTATTTGAGTGGGGTCCACTTCCGATTTGGGTCGGGTCAAAGTGGTTTCGGATTGTCCTTGTTAAGGGCTACAATTCGATATGTGGTACACTCAAAACGGATAACGGCTGAATGAGAAATTGATTCTCGAAGTTTACTCGTTGAAATGGAAAAACTGGGAAAATGATGGGTTTCTAGTGTGTTTTATCCCACACCGAAAAACTCAAGGGATTTTCACCCCCTTATAAAGGGAAGCCTCTTTTAAGGAGTTAAGATTCCTAAAGGTAAAGGCTCTCTCTTACGCGCAGGGGGGGTGCTGATCAAATCCCGAAACGAAGAAGAAAAACCGCGACTCGTGTGCGCGGACGACCTGCGGACACGAATGTCGTCCGAAAACCTATCATTCAATGCCCAACGGACTGGTCATTGATGTCCAACGTTCAGGTCCATTAACACCCCATTTAACACACAACAAATCCTCCTATAAAAGGCTGGCAGGTGCTTTGCAACAAACACACGGTTTTGACAACACATAATACATTCCTCACGTTTTCTTGAGCTAAAAACACTTCCAGCTACTCCAAAATTTCTAAAGTGTTCTGCCTTTGTTCCTGTTCGCCGGGACTTTCGTTTGTGTGCTCAAACGATCGTTCGTTAGCCATTGTATCTTGGGAAACGGTCGTTGCAACGCTCCTAACACCGTGGGGGGCGACGAATACGTTTTAAGGACATCGTGCTACTCTGGCTAAAATCTGCTCCATCTTATTTTCTGTTTTCTTTTAGCTATTTTGTTTATTAATTAATTTTATTTAATTAATATTTCTTCGTTTTTTCCGAAACACACCCAACAATCTTAAGACGTATTTGTTGATTGTTCTACTCCGGTAAACAGTCCTAAAACGTATTTTCCTTGGTTGTTGTACTGCGGTAAACAATCTAAAAACGTAGTTTGTCACTTCGGTGAACGAACTTAATTTTGTGTTTTTGGAAAACGTTGAAAACGTTAAAATGGCTTCGCAACAAATTGGAAATGTTGGTGGGCAGAACGTGCCAAACGATAATCAATCTGAAAGTGGAGCACCGGTGAACAATGGTTCACAACGCGGTGCATCTACTTTGGGCAACCAAGGGGCAATCCCTATGGTTACTGTGCCGAGCAACTCTGTGGAGAAACCCGAAAAATTCAACGGGTTAAACTTCAAGAGGTGGAAGCAAAAGATGCTATTTTACCTCACTACTCTTGGTCTTGCTAGGTTCTTGACCGAAGATGCGCCGGTAGCAACCGGGGGTGAGGTCGATGCGCAATCTTTCAACGCGGTTGAAGCTTGGAAGCATTCTGACTTCCTTTGCCGAAACTACATGTTGAACGGGCTGCATGATGCTTTGTACGACGTGTATAGCAAATTAGCTACGGCTAAGGAACTATGAAATGCTTTGGACCACAAATATAAAAGCGAGGATGCCGCCGCAAAGAAATTTGTTGTTGGTCGATTCCTTGATTTTAAAATGGTGGATTTGAAGACGGTCTTGAGTCAAGTTGAGGAAATGCAAATGATCTTCAACGAAATTCGAGATGTAGGAATGACAGTTAGTGAGTCTTTCCAATTGGCGTCAATTATCCATTTTTTGCCGCCGGCTTGGAAGGATTTCAAGAACTACCTTAAGCACAAGCGAAAGGAAATGAACTTGGAGCAATTGATCCCCCGTCTTCGGATTGAAGAGGATAACCGGAAGAACGATGGGAAACTCCCAATCGTTACCAGCGCCAAGGCCAACGTGGTGGAGCATGCTAAAGGCTCCAAAAATAAAAATAATGGGAAGAGAAAGTTTGGTCCCAAGGGAGGCGTTTCCAAAACGAAGTTTAATGGAAAATGCTTCAATTGCAATAAAAACGGACACAAGTCCTCGGATTGCAAGGCACCCAAGAAGAAGAGGGACTCTCAAGTCAACTTGGTGCAAGGTGGGCAAAAGGATGAAGACATCATCCTTGCGGCTGTGGTGACCGAGGTCAACCTCGTTGGATCCAATTCCAAGGAGTGGTTCGTGGACACCGGTGCAACCCGACATATTTGCTCAAACCGGGAGTTATTCACTACTTTTGAGCCATCAAATGGTGAGGAGGTGTGGATGGGAAACTCGGCTCATTCCGCGGTTGAAGACATGGGCAAAGTGGTCCTGAAGATGACTTCAGGCAAGGAGCCGACTCTAAACCAAGTGCTGTTCGTTCCGGAGATACGCAAAAACCTGATCTCCGGTTCGTTGTTGAACAAGCACGGCTTCCGCATGGTTTTTGAGTCGGACAAACTGGTTTTGTCTAAATCGGGAATGTATGTGGGCAAGGGATATACATGTGATGGGCTTTTTTAGCTCAATGTGATGACTAATAATAATAATAATAATAATAAAATCCCTTCTGCTTACTTGCTTGAGTCTTCTAATGTGTGGCTGTTGGAAAAATGTGTTAAAAATTGCATTAAATGGTCATTTTGGGGCAATTATTTGAGTGGGGTCCACTTCCGATTTGGGTCGGGTCAAAGTGGTTTCGGATTGTCCTTGTTAAGGGCTACAATTCAATATGTGGTACACTCAAAACGGATAACGGG